TCCAGGGAGCAAAGGGATGCCATCTATCACATTTCTTTGACTAGTTCCTCTGGGAGGCCCTTCTCAAACTTACAGGAAGGGTAGGTATTAGGAAACTCATTTCCTTGCCCAAAATAAGAACTTCTCCAAAGTTCATAAGTTCACATTCAGAGTGAACTTCACAGGATGGATTTGTATATGCAGAATCTGGGACTCTTCTGATGGTGGGATTAAGAAAAAAGGTCACAGTGCACCTGCCTGATTTTAATCTACCCATTTTAATATATCTTACTCGTTTAGAAGACTTCTAAGGCACTTTCCTATACCTCTTTCAATTGATTTCTCTTTCATAGATAAATAAACTAAGGCTTAAGACACTCAAATTTACCCTGCCAACCCTTGCTAATAAATGACAGAGTTTGGAGTAAGACCCACATTTTCTGACCCAGATGTTAAAGCTGATAAAGGGACCACAGGACAGCCAGAAAATATAGAGACGAAGACTTGAGAAAAAGAAAAAAAAAACAGGAACTGCTGTGGGCCAGCCTCACATAATGAGGCCCCCGAGAGGAATCAGGACCTGTTCATTATTTGCTGACTTTTCATAGTGGTCAGGGATTATTAGTCTGGCTTTTCAGCCTGTCTCTTCAAATGGCTAAAAAAATATATAAAGCAATAAGGGGAGCTTGTGGGGAAAGACCAGAAGCCCATTGGAATGCTATTGTAGTTGCTCTGAAGAAGGAAGTCACCCATCTGAGATAGCTTTGTGTGAGGCTGGGCCTCTGATAAGGCATTTCCTTCACTCCAGCGTCTTTTGGCACAAAGAGTGAAGTGCATGCAGTCTTACTGCTTCTTAGATCTCATGAGCTAAGAGAAATCATAATTCTCAGATATTGATTACTGAGGTGAAACAGAGCATGTTAAGATTACGATCTGGATATTCCAGAACGAAGTGAGAGATAATAATGACTTCCTCAAGTTACTGAACCAGGAACTGAACTATGCTATAGCTAATCCTCACAAAGGCCCTGTGAAGTGTGCATCATTAACTGCATTTGGAATGAAATAACTGAGGCTTAAGAAGTTAAATAACTGGACAAAGGCCAGAGTGTCTTGTAATTGGCAGAGCTGGGGACTGAACTAACATGTGTATGACTTCAAAGTCACTCTTTAACTGCTATGTTCATCAGTTTGTACTTGGAGACAACGTAATGTGAGGATCATCTGATGCATCTCCCCATTATTTCTGTCACTAGGACATGCTTCTGCTTTTTTATTCTTCTCAAATGACCCCTTTCTTCTCACCCTGCCTATACGAACATACTCCTCCTCTAAGGTCTGGTTCAACCCTAAGCTTCTCCAGGAAGCTGGGAGTCCAAAATGATCTCTTCCTTCTCTAAAGTTTTAAAGATACTTGCAGAGACTGGTACAACCATATGGAAAACAGTATGGAGTTTCCTCAAAAAATTTGACCCCGTGATTCCACTTCTAGGAATATATCCTAAGAAAACCAAAATACCAATCAGAAAGAGTGTATGAACCCCTATGTTCATAGCAGCGCAATTTACAGTAGCTAAGATCTGGAAACAGCCCAAGTGCCCATCAGTAGATGAGTGAATAAAAAAGCTGTGGTACATTTATACCATGGCATACTATGCTGCAATAAAAAAAAAGAATCTCTTACCCTTTGAGACAGCATGGAGGGACCTGGAGAATATCATGCTAAGTAAAAGAAGTTAGTCAGAGAAAGACAAGTATCACATGATTGCACCCACATGTGGAATCTAAGTAACAAAATAAACTGATAAACAGAGTGGATCCAGAGACATGGAAGCATGGAACAGAGTGCAGAATCTCAGAGGGAATGTGGGGGAGGGTGGGTGGGTGGCAGGTAATCAACCAAAGACCTGTATGCATATATTCATAACCCATGGACACAGAAAATAGGGTGCTGAAGGCCTAGGGTGGGGGGCAGGGGCAGGCTGAAAGGAGTCAAGGGGGGGGGGGACAGGGGGACAATGTAATACTTTCAACAATAAAGAACTATTAAATAAATGAATAAAGATACTTGCAGAGCCGAACCGGTTTGGCTCAGTGGTTAGAGCGTCAGCCTGGGGACTGAAGGGTCCCAGGTTCGATTCTGGTCGGGGGCATGTGCCTTGGTTGTGGGCATATCCCCACTGGGGGGGGGGGGGTGCAGTAGGCAGCTGATCGATCTCTCTCATCGATGTTCTAACTCTCTGTCCCTCTCCCTTCTTCTCTGTAAAAAATCAATAAAATATATTTAAAAAAAAAAAAAGATACTTGCAGAATTTCTGGGACCTTAATTTTTCATTCATTTAATATATAATGTTACACAGTGATAGAGCCCAAAGTACAACCTGGTTTCCAGGTGCTCAGATCTCTTTCTGCTACTTCCCACCCATCAGTTTAAAGGCATTGCTGAGTAACCCTTGTGCACTAGCTATGTGCTTCTTGGGCTGCAAGACAGAATGAGATGGGGCTCTAGCCCTATAGGAGTTCACAGGATGGAGAAGCAAGAGTTTACCCACATACAGCCATGAGGGAACAGCTCAAGATGGGTATGACCCAGAGTTAAGTGGGGCACCCAGGCTCCAAGTAAGCTCCATAATCCAGGAGGTGTACTTGCTTTGTTTAATGAGCCATCGCCAGTCCCTAGAGCAGTTAAGCTGGGGCAACATGTATAACTGTTAATGCAATTAATGGACTCTGAATCCCAGATCACCCAGGGAATAGCTGAGCGACCTTGGCCAAGTTACCTACTCTCTCTGTGCCTCAGCTTTTCCATAGGTGAAGCATATATAGTATTGAAGAGATCATCTATGTAAAGTACTTAGAAAGTGTGAGCACAGCCCTAGCTGGTTTGGTCAGTGGATAGAGCATCACCCTATGAACTGGAGGGTCCTGATTCAATTCCCGTCAACAGCACATACCATGGTTTCAGGCTCCTCCCCGACCTGGGCCCTGGTCGGGGCACATGCAGGAAGAAACCAATCTGTGTGTTTCTCATACTTGATATGCTAGCAAATCATACATGATAAATGAATAAATGAGCAAATGAATGCAATTGGAGTCAGAGAAAAGAGGGATTTTTGCAGGCTGGAGTGCTCAGGGAAGGTTTTCAAGCAGAGGCCAGACCTGAGCCAAGCATTTAAGGAAGAGTAGAATCTAAGTAGAAGAAAAGATGAAGAAAAGAAAAATGTTTACCCTTTCAGAAATCTCTTAAAAATGTGTATTGAAGTGTTATTTTTTTTCTGCAAAATATTGGAAACAGCTTAAATAGCCACTGAGACAATGAAATACAATTTGATGAATCCAAAAATGAATTACTTTGAGTCCATTAAAATGACATTTTCAAACAATACTTAAAGACAAATATGCTCAAATTATAGTAAATTATGAGAAAACACACCTTATAGGCATTATAATCTCAACTAAGTAAAAAATAGCCATTTGTGCATAAACAGAAAGAAAATATATTTCAAATATTTATAAGGAAGGAATATAGATAATTTTGTCTCTAAATTTTTCTTAATTTTTCAAATTGTCTACAATGGGCACATATTATTTATTGCTTTTATTTATTTTTTTTTAATTAAATCTTTATTGTTCAGATTATTACATTTGTTCCTCTTTTTTCCCCCCCATAACTCCCCTCCTCCCAGTTCCCGCCCCACCCTCCACCCTCACTCCCCACCCACTGTCCTCATCCATAGGTGCACGATTTTTGTCCATTCTCTTCCAGCATCTCCCACACCCCTTTCCCCCCCAAGAATAGTCAGTCCATTCCCTTTCTATGTCCCTGATTCTATTATAATCACCAGTTCATTCTGTTCATCAGATTATTTATTCACTTGATTCTTAGATTCACTTGTTGATAGATGCATATTTGTTGTTCATAATTTGTATCTTTACCTTTTTCTTCCTCTTCCTCTTCTTAAAGGATACCTTTCAGCATTTCATATAATCCTGGTTTGGTGGTGATGAACTCCTTTAGCTTTTCCTTATCTGTGAAGCTCTTCATCTGACCTTCAATTCTGAATGATAGTTTTGCTGGATAAAGTAATCTTGGTTGTAGGTTCTTGGTATTCATCACTTTGAATATTTCTTGCCACTCCCTTCTGGCCTGCAAAGTTTCTGTTGAGAAATCAGCTGACAGTCGTATGGGTATTCCCTTGTAGGTAACTGAGTTTCTTTCTCTTGCTGTTTTTAAGATTCTCTCTTTGTCTTTTGCTCTTGGCATTTTAATGATGATGTGTCTTGGTGTGGTCCTCTTTGGATTCCTTTTGTTTGGGGTTCTCCACGCTTCTTGGACCTGTAAATCCATTTCTTTCACCAGGTGGGGGAAGTTTTCTGTCATTATTTCTTCAAATAGGTTTTCAATATCTTGCTCTCTCTCATCTTCTGGCACCTCTATAATTCTGATGTTGGTACGCTTGAAGCTGTCCCAGAGGCTCCTTACACTATCCTCGCATTTTTGGATTCTTTTTTCATTTTGCTTTTCCGGTTGGGTGTTTTTTGCTTCCTCGCATTTCAAATCATTGACTTGATTCTTGCGCTCCTCTGGTCTGCTGTCGGGAGTCTGTATAATATTCGTTATTTCAGTCCGTGTATGCTTAATTTCTAGTTGGTTCCCCAATATAACATCGAGGGTCTCATTAGTTTTCTTGTAGATCTCATTAAGTTTATCGGCGGCTTCTAAACAGTTCTTGAGAGACCTTAAAAGTGTGGTTCTGAACTCTATATCTTCCATTGACAATTTTGTCCTGTTTCTTTGTCTCCGCATTTTGTTATGCTTCCTTGGTGCACCCCCTAGTGGTCTTTGTGCGCAGTCTTATAGTTAAACCTTGATTGTTGTAGCTAATACCAGGGAGGGTTTGACCTCCAGGCCAAGTGGCTATCTTTTATTTTTAATCATGGTAAATTTTGCCATTTTAACTACTTTTATGTATACAGTTTAATGAATAATATTTTTTTCAATCTTCTTGTGTTTTTTACAGATGAAGAAGACTCCCAGGCCTAGGACCTCATCCACACTGTTGACCTCTCAGAGTAACTGACAGACACCACGAGTGGAAGGAAGCATGGCCACTGCTAATGCCTGCACACCTGACCCCTTTGCCCTGGCAAACACCGTTATGATTTTGGAACGTGTACCTGCCAGTGGAGGGTTGGCAATTTGGCCCCCCAGTGTAAGGAATAATTCCTCCCTAAAGTCAAGGTGTTAACATGTTTGTCATGTCTAGACAATGAATGGCCTCCCTCATTTCCAAGCCTCTTCTTTTGGTCTCTGATACTGCTCCAAACACATGCAGCTTTCAGGCATTTCCTCCAATGCCCACAATTCAGGGGAGTGCCCCTGAGGCTTCAGAATCCCCCCCAAATTACCTTGGGCTTCCTGAAAAGTGTAAAAAGGAGGATGTGGGCCTCTTCACCTAGTTCTGAAGGCTTGGCCTCATTCTGCAGCTTGCGTAATGAATCACCACAAATTAGAGAGAACACCTTATGTAATAGAAGCCTGGGCTGGAGGGAAGAGCCACCTGGCTGCAGGCCTGAGTTTCTGTTACAAACCCAGGTCCAACGGGGAAATGCCAACCATGGTGTACCTCCACAGTTTTCCTGTGATTCCATTATTTCTTATTTCCATTCTCTTCCTTCTCCATATTCATGCATCTAATTCCTTTATTCAGCAATATTATTTACCCCCTACTATATATCAGGCTCTGTGTTAAGGGATGCGATACTGACACTAAAGATAATGGTAGTAATCTTATTAACTGCCAAATACTATGTTAAAAAGCTTTACCTGCACTATCCCATTCAACTCTTGCAACAACTCTACAAAAAAAGGACTATTTACACCCCATTTTACAGATTATAAATCTGAAGTTCTAAGAATAAGACATTTGTGAGAACTGGATAAGGTGGCAAAATGACACTTAGATTAAAGGATCTCTCCCCTTCCCTCCCCCCACCTCCAACATTTTTTTTTAAATATATTTTATTGATTTTTTTACAGAGAGGAAGGGAGAGAGATAGAGAGCTAGAAACATCAATGAGAGAGAAACATCGATCAGCTGCCTCCTGCACATCTCCTACTGGGGATGTGCCCACAACCCAGGTACATGCCCTTGACCGGAATCGAACCTGGGACCTTTCAGTCCGCAAGCCGACGCTCTGTCCACTGAGCCAAACCGGCTTCGGCCCCCCTCCAACATTTTATACAATGAACAGCAAAAGTAAAAACAGCAAAACAGTAAAAACAAACAAACAAAACACCAGCAATTTTCACTTTAGGTATGGACAAATAAGCACCCACCAGCTTATCTGTTCCCCCACAGATAACAACTATGAACTTAGACAAAATACAAAAAACAACCACCTGAAGGCACAAGAAATTAAATAGCAGTAAACAGATTCTGGAAGGAGTCAAATCTTAGAATAATGTAATAGCAAAAGGTGAATTACCTATTTTCCTAAGTTTTTAGCTTGTGAACAGGATGAGATCAGCACCATGTGAGGTGGCTAAAACTCGGATTAAAAAAAAAAAAATCCATAGTCCTTTGGCCTAAAGAACAAGAGGACAGAGTATGCTGAAAAGTACGAGGGGAGGAGAAATATTGGAAAGGAATGATCCAAAGAAAGAGAGAGGTCTGAATTCTGTGTATAAACTCTGATCAAGCTTCTGTCAGATCCTGAACCACACAGACATTGAGTAAAACTCAATGACATTGAGTAAAACTCAAAGAAGCCACGCTAAAGATAGGGGAGCTGAGTTGAGAGTCAAGCTGTCCCCCAAATGACAGTGTTTTACAGTTTGCATCCATCTAAGTTCATTTGCTTGCAAAAACAAAACATCAGCACTATCAGAGGACTATAGTGAGATCTAGAATCCCCATAACATCAAGTTCATAATTGCTAAGATACACTGCAGAATTATACAACAAACGAAGAACCAGATAATATAAACCAGGTTTAAGAGGAAAGACAACCAGCTGAGACCAACCCCAACATAATACAGAAGTTGAAATATGTAGATAAGGATTGTCAAGCAGCTATCACAATTATGCTCAATAAAGTCAAGAGAAATATACTTTTAATGAATGAAAGGCAGAAAATTTTAAGTGAGAAATAGAAACTCTTTTTAAAAGAACCAATGGAAATTCTAGAACTGAAAAATACAATATTTGAAATTAAAAATACTCTGGAAGGACTTGACAAAAAAAAAAAAGTCAAAGAACTTGAAGACAGATCAATAGAAAATTTCCAATCTGAAGAACATAAAGAAAAATAAACATTGAAAAATATGAACAGAGTCTTAGGGACCTGTAGAACAATATAAAAATGTCTATATACATCTGAATTCTAAAAGTGTGTGTGTGTGTGGGGGGGGGGTGCTGGGGGGAATAAGGCCATAAAAATATTTGAAGAAATAATGGCTTAAATTTTCCCAATTTGTTAAAAGACAAAAATGTATTGATTTGAGAAGTTTAGGAAAACCCAAGCCACATAAGTGTAAAGAAAGAACACACATAGTCATATCAGTCAAAACTAAACTAAAATAAGGAAAAGTTTTTGAAAGCAGCTGCGGTGGGGGGGGGGGGGGGGGGTTAGCAGAGGAAAATGGCATATCACATAGTGGAAGAGCCATTTAAATCACTGCTGAATTCTGATTAGAAACTATGGAGACCAGAAGATAGTGGAACATCTTTAAGGTGCAGGGGGTACCTGGCAACCAAGAATTCTGTATTTATTGAAAATATCCTTCTAAATTGAAGGCAAAGTAAAGACATTTTTATTTTTTCTTTTGTAATATTTTTATTGATTTTTAGAGAGAGGGGGAAGGAGAGGGAAAGAGAGAGAAACATCAATGTGAAAGTAGAACATTGATCAGCTGCCTCCTACACGCCCCCTATAGGCGATCGAGCCCACAACCCTAGCATGTGCCCTGACTGGGAATCGAACCAGCAGCCTCTTGGTCCATAGGAAGTCTCCCAACCAACTGAACCACACCGGAGGGCAAGTAAAGACACTTTTAAAAATCCACTGATAGCAGCAACAAGGGGTTCAATCTTACACCATCAATGTTGAAAACAAGTCTGAGAAAGTAGCGAAGAGTTCTGATGTGGTGTCACACCGGTCATGATCTTAAACTTATCTTCCCTAGGGCAGTATGGAGGAAAATAGATGAAATGAAAAATATCCTAATAATTTTCAGGAATTGCCTCTCTGCCCCCATTCCAATCTGGAGAGAATATGATTGAGAGGGTAAAAAGGCAGCTTGAAGAAAAGTCCAGAGAAAACATTTGAGAGTAGAAGCACTTACACACGACCAAGGGACCTTGATGGGCAGTTTCCAGATCACTGTGCTAGGTTGGGGCAAGCCCACACGGGTGGTACACACACCCAGATGAGTGGCATGGGTAATAGAACTGGATACTTTAACAGGATCTCAGAAAAGCAGAGGTTTTAGGTCCACCAGCAAGGGCTGCATGCAGCCCCATCCCCTGAAATTACAGAAAAGGAAACAGAAGCAACTCACAGCCCTCACATTATAGCTCTGATGGGAAGGAAACTAAGTTTTAGATCAGATAAAAAGGATTTCAAGGGGAAGTTACCACATTCTCTATCAAACCAAACAATCCATGTTAATCGAAGGCTAAATAAAAAAGAAATGGCAGAAGCTATGAAAGCACTCCCTATAGAAAAAACTATCAAGCCATTCTGGAAGAAAATAGCCCACATCAAGGACCAGAAGAATACTCATTATGAATTCACCACTCTGCAGGCAAACATATTCTAATAAGGATATGATTTTAATAAATAAGAACACAAAAACAAAAGGATAAAATAACAGCATGTGATAAAAGGGGGAGGGGTCCAACTGCTAAAGAGACAAAAGGCTTAGCAAAGTTTGTCTTCAGATCTAACAAATAACTGAGGAAAATAAACCAGTAACAGCATAGATACAACTGAATATCCAATTATTTTCATGGAGGAAAGACTCGAGATAATCTTAATGAATATTGAAGGAATAAACTTAGAATTTAAAGCAATTAAAGAATACATGACAAAGACAATCTTACAACAATTATTGATGTCCTGAAAGTGAAGAGCTACAGTAAGTAGAGAAACTATGTAGAAATGTAATAGAGGGAAATTTCTCTAAAATGTAAGAATTCAACCTTTTAATAAAAATTATGTAATGTTTTTTCAATAGTATTGGTAGAAAAATGAGATATTTTTACTATGCTTATTAACTTAAGTTGAAGTATAAAAAGACAAGAAAAAAGAATTCTTTAGATATCCAGGAAGAAAAAATCCAATCACCTAAGAGTGTGAAAAAATTAGATTTTCCACTGCAATGTTCAATGGCAGAAGACAATAGAGCAATGTCTACAAAGTTCCAAAAGAAAGAAAATGTCCCCAACATATTACATCCCATTAACATGTCATTCAAGGATAAATGCAAAAGGCAGACATTCTCAAATATGCAAGAACTCAAGAAATGCAGCATGCATGCATGAACCCTTCTTGAAAACATAAGCTCCACCTGATCAAGAGTTGAATCAGAATAAAAAAAAACTCAAAAATGCTAGTGAGAAAAAAAAAAAAAAACAGTGGTGAGCATCAAATCCATGTAGATATCAAAGTAAAGTTAAATAAACAGGGAAGTGATAGAAGAATGGATCATAATCAGCATGATCTTTACAAAGAAATAATACTGGCCAACAACTTCATCAACAAAAAAAATGATAGGAGGGGAGGAGTTGGAAGAAAGAAGTATGACAGTGCTAGTCTCGTGTTTTCTAGTAAGCCATCAATTGGTGGTATCTAAAAATAAAATATGATGTTTTTGGAAACATAGTAACTCCAACTCTTAATGGTTTTTATAATTCACTTTTTCTGTAACCTTAAACAGGAGCCAGATAGCAAGTACTAAAAGCAAATATTACTGCGTGTTTGCCATACACTTACTGCTCTAAGTTCTTCACACATAGGGATTTATTTAACCCCGTCAATAGTCCCATAAAGTAAGAGTTTATTACTAACCCCATTTTATGAAAGAGGAAATAAAACATAGAAACTTTAAATTACCCAAAGCCCCAAAACTAGCAAGTTATGGAATCAGAAGTCAAAACCAAACATCCGGTCTCCCCAGCCCATGTACTTCACCCCCTCTTTTTCATGGCTCAGTGAGAATGAGAAATGACCAGAAGTAAACAATAAGGGAGGGCAGATATCCTGCAAATTAGAATGTGTGCA